ACTTCTGGGGGGGCGTGGGACATGTAAAAATACAGGAGTTTCGGGCCCCCCAAGCCATAATCCTTTGCAAATTACTTTGTATTCGCGCCCCGAGGCCACGATCCCCTACAAATTACACCACATTCGCGTCTCCGAGGCAACGATCCCTTGTAATTGACGCCACAGTTGCGTCTCCGAGGCCACGATCCCTTCCAAATTACTCCACATTCGCGCCCTCGAGGCCACGATCCATTGTAAGTTACACCACACTCGCGACCCCGAAGCCACGATCCCATGTAATTCACATAATTCTCGCGCCCCCGAGGCCACGACCCCTAGCAAACTAAAACAAATTCGCGCCCCTGACGCCACCATCCTTTGTAAATTAAGCAGCGGGCGCGCCCCCGAGGCCACGAATCCGCCTTGCGGAGGCTGCCGAAAAGGCGCTCCCCCTCTCCAAGGTCAAGGTCAAGCCCGTGCGCCGGAAGGCGAGCCCATAGAGGGCACAGGCGGTGGCAATCGGCAGCGTGCTACACACGCGCGCGCCACGGTGAGACAGCGTGTTCATAGGGAATGGCAGCAGAAATTATGAAAATCGTCGGCGCGCATTTGGAAAACATCTGGTGACCAGGATCGCCATTGAGAGCCGATCACACGGCCGAAATCTTCCAATTTGCTTGTCCATGTAAGACACGGCCGGCCTGCTCTACGATTACCGCGTGGTGACCAGTTCAGAACTCTCGTGATGTACCTCGTCTCCGGCAGCTGCTGGACATATTCTGCAAACGACCAATATTGATGAACGCATTGTTCTGCCCATGTGCGAATACCAGCACGCGCGACGAAGTAACGTGCACGCTCGTGCCAAACATGCAGTACATCATGCCATGGGCCATCCCAATCAACGTCCGGAGGTGGTCCAACGACTTGTCGTACGAGGCGACGAAATTCGATATCCATTGTTTTCAAATCATCCAAATATAGCGGGCGATGCTCTGCCGCAAAACACGCCACTGTCATTACGACGGAATTGAACAATTTCAATCGCTGTGTGACCGAGGCTCGCTTGTCACACAGAATACGACGATTCGCATAGAATGCCTTGGCTGCACATTGCATGTGGCAATTCAAATCCAGAGTGCGGGAATCTGCTCCCCCTGTGGACAGCATGCAACCCAACCATTTATGAGCAGAGTCCCTGTTGATCACGTCGATTGTCAGACCATTCGGCGTCTGGATCGTGGAGGGGGCTTGTGCTGTAGTGGTAAGCGCCTTGGTCTTTTTCGCGTTCAGGACAAGCCCGACCTTCAGCAGCTCCGACACGAGCGCGTCGAGTAAGAAACACACCTCCCTTTCCGAATATGCGAATAGAAGCAAGTCGTCTGCGAAGCGCAGGTTGGTCAGATGCTCTCCACCATCTCCAAGATCCATTCCCAGATGCCGAACTTTCTGCTTCCAGCGCGACATTGCCCATTCCATGGCGGACGTGAACAACTTTGCACTCAGTGCGCACCCTTGGCTGACGCCAGCAGAAATAGGGAATTCATCACTGTAAGTGCTTTCGCCAGCAATCACACCCACTTGGTCCGCATAGAGTTGTCGAATGAGCCAAACCATATGGTCGGACACCCCATGATCACGGAGTGCTTGCCACAGTGGATCCCATGCCACCTTGTCAAAAGCTTTCGACAAGTCCAAACTGACGATCCAAATCGGCATTCCTACGGCGAGCGTTTTCTGAAAGACAATGTTGGCAGCAACCACGTGCTCCTCGAAGCGACGACCGGACCGGAACCCATGTTGTTCTTCAGGTTGTGCATGCTCCAATGCATCTTCGATCCTGCCCAAGACCAGGTAGGAGAACAACTTGTAGAACAGCCGCAGACATGCAATAGGTCTGAAATCCGAAACTGTTTTAGCACTTGCCATCTTCTCCAGCATCTTGAAGACTGTACGTCTCCAATCGTCTGGAACGATGCCGTGCGCAAACAACTGGTTGCACAACCTCAGCACAGTACTGCGAAAGAGCAGCGGACTTTGATGCAGGAGCTCTGAGACGAGACCTTTACTATCTGCAGCCTTGTTCTTCTTCATCCGGTCAATGGCGATGTCCAGTTCGTCCTCGTCGAAACTAGGCTCGGTAGTGGCGGGGTTCGCCGGCGGGCGCTGGTAAGTGCCGCTGAAGATCTCACGCATGGCTGTAGCAAAGTCCGCGGGGCTCGGTTGAACTGCTCTCTTCTTGCCCGAAAACGTGTTTAACATCTGCCGCAACGCTTTCCACTTTGATGATTGGCCTACGTATGTAGAAATCTGCGCAGATCGCCACCGGCGGCTTTCCTTCCGCATCGTACGGCGGATCTTGAAAGTGAGATCTTTCCTCTCTGCCTGTCCACCCGCACGGCGTCGAGCTAGCCGCAAAGACGTGAGAGCTGGAGATGGTTTGAATCGAAATGTCTTCGAACCCGCGCTCCCGTGCTTGGATCCCGCTTTGTGCAGCATGTTCTCCGCGCAGCTGAACGACGAGACCCGTGAGAGAAAAACTGGGTCGCTCAATACTTCCCAATACTTCGACGGCTCCCCGCGCACATCCAGAATAGGCCGCCAACCCTTCAAACTATTGTTCTTCCGGTTGCTGTTGACACGTCGGCCAACGAAAGATAGCTCACAATGCACCGTTCGATGATCCAGTCCAACGCCAATTGCTTGATCGACATTGGAAGCAACGTGACCGAAACTAGAACCAGCGACGATGTAATCCAGTTGGACAAGAGCGCCGTCGAAACTACGTCTGCATGTCCAGGAATTCTCAGGAAGTGTTGGCCCAAAGCGACTGTAGATCGACAGCCCATGTTGAAGAAGCCATTGCACTAACAAACGTCCACGGTCATTGCGAACGCCACTGCCGGCAGCACCAAGTAATGACTGATCATCTCCGGCCACGAGTGCACCGACATGCGCATTAAAGTCCCCGCCGATGATGGCCAGGGCATCGGCACCCCCATCGCCTTCAAGAAGAATCGACAAGAGATCATATAAAGCGTCCGCTTCGGCATCGTCGCTCCAAAAAGTGGGGAAGTACACAGCTATCGCCCTGACAACCTTCCCCGCGATTGAAAAATCCAGTGCGCAACATCGGGGACTGAAAGCATGAAACTGTATATTTGAGATTCGCTTCCGAAACTTTGGCGATACAGCAATGCCCACACCATGGTGCGAGGAACCACCAGAGAGAAACAGAGAGTCACCACTGCTGGTTTCCACAACTTCCTCCCTATCCTGCCGCCACGTTTCAGCTATGAACAAAATATCGTACATCAAACTCGAAAGTTCGTATTGGAAATCTTCCAAAGCAGAAAAACAGCAATTTTCTGTATTGGGATATGTGCTCCGCTGGTATTATTATGCCCCCCCTCCCGTTTCTGGAAAATTCGGCGGTGGGTTCCACATTCACCCCCCCAGGCCACGATCCCTCGTAAGTTATGCCACATTTACGCCCCCGAGGCCACGATACCGCGTGAATTACGCCACATTCGCGCCCCCGAGGCAACGATACCCTTTAAATTACGCCGCTGTCGCGCCCCCCAGGCCACGATCCCTAGTAAATTACGCCACAGTCGCGTCCCCGAGGCCACGATCCCCCGCAAATTACACCAAATTCGCGCGCACCCCCCACGCTACGAATCCACCTCGCGGAAGCTGCCCAAAGGCGCCACTCCTTCTCCAGAGCAGAAAAATAACCTTCCCAGAGATTGCCTGAAGCAATCCCCAGCCGTTCCCAGAGCGCTTCCAGTGAACAACTGGAGGAAAATGCTAAGAAGGCAACAAAGAGTTCAACAACAACTTCAACATCTCAATCTGTTTTGCTCATCGCCAGCCGCCCTAGCATGACGTTCCCGAATGTCATCAAGACGGCGCCCGAACATCCCAATATAGCTCTGATGTATCCCAGTATGATAGAGAGGGGGCCGGCGGCAGGGGGCGAAGCCCTTACGGATTATTCAAACATCACCAAACATCACCAAACACGTTTTTTTCTTAAACAAAAAATCCCAACATCACCAAACATTGCAAAAAAAACGTCCCCGTACTATTTTTCAGTATTTAGAAATATTCCTCCTGTAGAGGGACAGGCTCGCCTGAAGACTACGAAGAACGATGAGAGGGGGGATGGCACGGCATCCTTCTGCTAGCGGCGCAGCGGCGCCGCGTAGGGGGAACGGCGGGTGCGCCGGGAGGCCTCGGGCTGGCTTTGTGAGACGGCATCGGCTCCATATGCTTCTGCAGTTCGTCACTGCAGGCAAGCGCGTCCAAAAGGAGGGCCCGCGCGAATCACAGACCGAGGCACGTGCGCAGCCCTGGGCAGTGCCAGGGTGCGCTGTGGAAAGAGGGAGAGGGGGCCATGAGATCACGGGAGATCTCTCTCGGGTTGACCCAAAAGGGGGTCAAGCGAAGGGGTGGTGCCGTAGATTCGGTGCAATACATTTGTGGGGCTGCAATACTTTTGGGGCGTGCAATGCTGTCCGGGGCGCAAGTGTATTGCTGGATTTTCGCGTGCAATGCATTACTTGCAATACAATGCAATACAGTTCTCCGGCGTAATACATTTGCAATACACTTGCCCCAAATCTATTGCACCACCCCCATTCCAGCTGGACCCCCTTCTGGGTCACCCCGAATCTCATGGCCCTGGCCGTGATCTCCACACTCCCCGAATCTTCACCCCCTCTTGGATGACGCCGACCTCTCGGGCCAGGACGGCGCGCACCAAGAGACGAAGGCGGAGCGGGGACAACATCGGACCGTGACCAAATCGGGGATCTTCAGATCCGACGGCTCTGGAAGACGTATCGGGCGCGGGCGCTGGAGGAGGGGGGAGAAGGCAAAGGAATGATGCGGAGGATCGGATCGGATCGGCTCTATCGCGGTGCGAATGAAAGGAGGACACAACTCTCTACCCAGACCTCCACGGCGACCAGGAGCACAAGGTAGCGCTCCGCGAGCACCAGGTAGAAGAAGAAGTGTCACTGCTGCTGACAGTCGGGAGGCTTGTCAGCGGTCGAAGCGACACTGGGACTGGGACCCGCTGCCGCCGCCGCCGAACGTGTGGCTTCCCCGAGCTGCCCCAGCAGATCACTGATGCTGCAATCGCCGCTCGGCCGCGCCGAACGATCTCCTGCAGCCGATATAGTCGTTCTCAAGGGCCTGGTCGCTGTCTGTGGCCCCACCCCCCTTAGGGCGTCGGCGTCCCTCAGGAGCCGCGCCCGCTCCTCGCTGGCCTCCCACCGCTGGATAGCGGCCTTCTCGCACGTATTGGCTACCGCACTGATGCTGATCGTGTCGGGCTCACTCCCCGCCAGCGCCGGCCCGCGACTGCAGCTGCTAGAGCAGTGACAAGGAAGCAAGGGCCCAAGCTTCGGCGTCCTGGTCTCGCCCGTACCGATCGCAACACTGCAGCTGTCCACATAGGGCTGTAAACTAGAAAGGAGGCTGGGGATAACGGGCTCTGCCTTCGCCTTCCTTTTCTCGCACGACCTGATCGCAGCGCTGTAGCTGATCATGTCGGGATCCGTCTTCGTCTCCAACTTATCGCACACGCTGTTTTCAGAGTTGTGGCTAGAGAGGATGGCGGGCTCCAGCTTCGCCTTCCCCTTCTCACAGGCCTCTGAGTTGTGGCTAAGTGACGTGTCGGGCTCAAACGTCGCCTCCCACTTCTCGCAGGCGCTGTTCCAAGTGATAGGGCTAGCGACGATAGTGGGCTCTACCTTCGCCTCCCCTTCATCGCACTTCTCCCTGGGTTTCTGTTGCGCCCTCCCCTACTCACATGCCCTGATCTCAGCGCTGTAGCTGATGGTGTCGGGCTCTTCCTTCGCCTTCCACCTCTCGCACGCGCTGGTCCCCGTGCTGTGGCCAGTAATAGGGATAACTGGCTCTAACTTCGCCTTCCCCTTCGCGCTCGTCCTGATCGCAGCGCTGTAGCTGATCCTGTTGGGCTCTGCCTTCACCTCCCACATCTCGCACATACTGTTCACAGAACTGTGGCTAATGATGGTAGGCTCCAGCTTCGCCTGGCCTGGCACTCCCATCGCCTCCTGAGCCTCACACGCCCTGATTGCAGTACTGTAGCAGGTCATGTCGGGCTCTAACATCGCCTCCAACTTCTCGCGCGCGCTGTTCTCAGAGCTGTGGCTAGGAGGGATAACGGGCTCCAACTTCGCCTTCCTTTTCCCGCATGCCCTGATCTCGGCGCTGCAGCATATGGTGTCGGGCTCTGCCTTCGCCTCCCGCTTCTCGCAAGCGTCCTCGCCGCCTGCGAGTCGCCAGCCGGCCGCCAAGCCCTCCTTGAAGGCGTCGGCAGGATCGGGAAGCACTGCCCAGCAGCCGGGGGCGTAGCCGACCGCGGGCGAGTTCAGCAGGTGCAAGACCTCCGCGCCCTGCTGCTGAGCCCGCCGCGCGGCCGTCCGCCAGCCGCGCCCGCCGCCGCGCGGCGCGCGCCACCGGTGTCGCCCTTAACGAGGGCGGGGCGGCGGTGGCGTCATCACACATGTGTCGCGGGCGACTCGGGTGGCACAGCGCCGTGCGCAGGCCGCTCTCGAGTCACCACACGTGGGCAGGATGAGAGAAGTCGCCCCGCGGGGCTGGGGTCGTGGTCTGTCGGGCCGCTAGCCAAAAATGGGGCGCCTCGGACCACAACACCTGGAATGATGCGGAGGAGGAGGAGGAGGAGGAGGAGGAGGAGGAGGAGGAGGAGGAGGAGGAGGGCCGTTCTAGAGCTCAGGAGCGCTCTGAGAGCACCCCAGGACGCTGTGGAGCGACGTGCCCGAGCCCTGGGCCCGCCCGGCGAACGCGGGGGCCGATCAGGCCGCCGGCGCTTCCCGCGGCGCTCGTCGGGGGTGCCGCCCTCGGCGTTTGACAAACCTCCCTTTAGCAAACCACCCCTTAGTGCGGACGGCCTATAGGACCGAAACCGACGGCCCTGGACCCGCAAAGAGGACGGCCGCGACGCCCTCCCGCGGAAGCCGAAAGCGGCCAATTTTCGCTGCTCGACGTGTCGGGGCAGGAGGTCTATCGACCTCCGACGCCCGCCTGGAGGCAGGCCTGGAGAGGGCTCCACACGCGGAGAGCCGGAGCGGATCGGGGCCAGAGCGGACTCTCGCGCCCGAGCCGTCGCAGGATCGCCTCCCGGTCGGATGTCGCCGGGGCTCGCGGAGCGGGCGCTCGGCCCCTGCAGACGCTGGAGAGGGGAAGCGGAGCGCTTCGCGCCAGGTCGGCAGCGGATCGAGCTCGGAACCTCGGGCGTTGGTGCGGATGGGGGGGGGGGCACTGCAAGGGGGGGAGAACGAAAGGTGCACCGTTCGTGCAAGGCGATCCCGGGGCCATCTAGGAAAAGCTTGACATGCGACAGCTTGCACGGGCAATGAAGGGGGGAGAACGAAAGGCGCACCTTTCGTGCAAGGCGATCTTGGGGCCATTGAGGGAAAGCTTGGCATACGGAACCGCTTGCACTTACCTTTCGTCAAACCTCCACGAGCCCGCCGGCGAACCGCCGCAGACCCAGGTCGCGGGAGGGAAAAGGAAGGAAACACAGAGGGGCGCCAAGAGGCCCATACCCTGCAACCCGTGCTTCCCCCCCCCAGCCATCGCCCCCCCATTACGACACGCCCCAGAATCGAAGCCTGGGGATCGGACCGGACCGCGAGCAGCCCTGGCCATGCTTGTTGTTGCTTGCTTGTTTTGCCATGGCGCCTGGCCATGCGCGCCAGGAAGGCCCCTCCCCGCTCTTCCAGGGGCCGCGGACGGCGGGCAGGGCGAGCACGCCACAGAAGCCCTCTGCTCAGCGGAGCAGGGCCACCCAAGCGACCTGGCCACCCCCAAACATTGGGACGAGCTCCTCCCCCTCCTC